CGCACTAGGAGGAAGTTGAAGGGGATGAGAAGGATGACAGATAAAGTTAAAGACCAGTCGAACACAATTCCCTTTGAACTTCAATTTTAAATTTAAAAATGAACACATTTACACTTTAATTAGCATGCTGTGGTCCCTCATCTGGTGATTTTGATAGTTTATCAAGTCATAGTTGAAGTATAGTTATTGCTGCATATAACTCGATGTGCTTGAGCATGTATCAATTTCAATCGCTAATTGTTAGCAGAGGGCTGCAAAATAAACAATTAGAAGCTTTATATTCTTGTTAGCTTCAAAATTTCCTCACAAATGGTAAAAGTTATTATGAAAGACTTTCCTGAAAATGATCAAATATCCGTTTTTCACGACCACGCTCTGCATTTTCTTCACCTAACAGGATGTATTGAACTACTAAGGTAATATATTTCTGTTTCAATACTAACAAAATCCAAAAGTTCAACAGATGAAAAGAGAAGAATACTTCAAAAAGTCTTAGATTATCGGCACATTTTTACTTAAAACGCGAACTTAAATACCACAGGCACAGTTGAACCAAAATTTGACGCCTTGAATTCTTTTCCAAATTCAAAAAATTAACCTTGAAAAACTTGTAATGACGTGAAGTAGGCATCTTAGTCTACTGAGTTATAAATGGCTTGTGATTTATGGCTAACCTATAATTAACCATTACACTGCTGTTGACATAGGTTAAGGATCGCAGCTGTTTTCTGATCGCATTTTTTAAGAGGAAGTTGGCTACAAATTTGTACAGCAGTCGGAAAGGTGTTTTGGTAATATTCAGAAATGATGTCATGTAAGAAAATAGTAATGCATCTCAAAAGTTGCGTTAATAGGAATGAATGGCGTAGAAGATGCAGGGAAATAGAAATCTGTGATGAATCGAGAAGTTACATGCATTTTGCCTTTTTTTCCTGACAGAGTAAAGCTGATATGAGCTAAATTAGCCTGCATTATTAAGAAACTAAGTATTTAATTAAAAAAAAACACCTACACGAATTTGACCCTAAGATACCAAATCTTATCTCTGCTTTCGTTCGCAGAAAATCAAGGACTCGCCAGTATCAGAGATGGAAAAGCATTGCCGCCCATTTAACGTGAAAACTCTGACAAATAGTTCGCAAAAAAGGGAGCGAGAATGAGTGCGAGTTGGCGATGACATGCAAATGCGGATGGAGGAGGCGCGGCTGATTATGCAAAAGCGCATATCGATTCAAGGCACAACAAATGGCTGTTTGAGGACTCTCAACATAGTATGGAAGATGTAATTCGAACTACTTGATGCTCATCAAATTGCTTACCTCAATTATCTTGCGTTTCACCGGCTGCCCTTTGCGTCGTCGCGATCCCGTACATGCGATTGGCTTCGTGATCCGTAGCGATTTGTGCGGTACGCATGGCAAGATAACTGCTGATAAAGGGGCATTTTTGGGGATTGGTGGAGAAAATACACAGTTTGAATTTATAAAAAATATTTTTAGGAAATGTATTGAAGAAGCGAAGAAAAACAAAATTCCCAATCTATAAAAAGAGATATATAAATATAAATTGCAAGAACAAGATTTATGACTACAAATTCCATAAAAGTTTTCTTTTTAAGTGTAAGATTGATACTTGTAATTGAAATCTCGTTAGCACAACAAAGGAGAAGTCTAAGATATACTAAAGATAAGACTACTTTTCTTTGTTTGAACTAGAAATCATTGTTCAAAATGAAAATCACGAGTAACATCTAAATGGCAGAAGTATAAAATACTAATGAAAAAAAAGAGCTAGTATGTTATGTAATAGATGGCCAACCAACAATGAAAAACAGCAATAACTGCATGCCATCTCAAATCGATTTCCACTATAACCCTGTGATTTACTATTTATAGACACATGTCGTTTAATGCCTTACTTTAGAAATTATGATC